TAGTGATTTTAATGTGTACCTACATGCCAGCACGTGTGTAATTTTATTTAGGTACAGGTTTAAACAATTTTAATATCAAGTACATACATATAAAATATACAATAATTTTAAAAGATTTGAAATTTTTGGAAAGTTTCCAGACTAAAAGGAATGTGCTCGGGGGAAGTAAAAAAACTGGGGTGGGCCGCTGTGACCAATTAGAAAGACGGGGGGGGACCGTATAGCGAGTTTTGGTCAAAATTTTGAATCTCCGATTACGAACCCCGTAAAGGGCGGGCCCTACGTATTTTCTATAAACATGGCCCCTTTTCATAGGTTGACTCGCAAATGTATTTCGTCCTGGACTGTACGCCCGGTGGAGCCCGGGGGCCCCCTCCCCAGCCGGTCTGGCATTTTTTACCAGTGGTAAGGGCCCCCCAAAAGTGCCCCTACAAAAAATTTCAAAATACCCACTCATTTAGTGCTTGAAAGTACTAACAAAGCTACCATGGCTCCAAAAAAGCCCTAGTGCCAACCCTGTGGTAAAGGTGAGAAATATGACAGGAAAAATTTTGGGGCCCCTTTTAGGGAAGTTTTTAAAGAGATCCGAAACAGAGTTCTCTCCACATTGCTTGTGAACAGGACTAGAGTCTCCAAGTGGCCGGGGGCTTTAAAAAACCCGGGAAAGAAGCAACCCCAAAAAGAAATTGGACGAGGTGTTGCTGGAAGGGGATTCCCTTCCAAAAAGTAAACAATCCAATCTCTTCCTCCTCCATCCCCCATCCTAAAAAAAATCTCCAATAAAGGGGAAGTTTATGCTGTTAATGTTTTATTTATCATTTTCCCCTTGTTTTGCTTATGTACTACATGTATTTTCATGTAAAAAAATTTTCATGTAAAAAAATTTCTGTTTAATACTTCTGGGTGTCGGAAGATTTTTGTATTTACATTTTTTCTTAGGGGGGAAAAGATTGCAAAACGTAAATTTCTTTATAGTACTCCTCCAGGGAAAGGATTAATTACGAAAAAAGAGGGACCACGTACAAACTTTTTTCAACATACCGGCCTTCCCACCGAGGGAGGGTGGCCCAAAAGGGAAAAAAAGAAAATTCCCCCTTTTTAAAATTTAGTAATTGTTACAGGGGAAGGGGTTTCGCCCCCCTTGCTCCGGCATTTTTGTCGCCTCTTACGAAACCTGCTTATGGGGGAAGAATTCTTTTCAACTTCCTATTAAAAATAAATAAATAATAAAAATATATATTTATATAAATTAAAATAAATAAAATATTAAAAATAAATAATATAAAAAAAAAATTTTAAATTAATTTTTTTTTTTATTTCACACCGGCCCTTCCCACCAAGGCGGGGGGCCCCAAAAAGAAAAACTTTTTACCCTCATTCACTCCATCACGTCTTGCGAAGGGGGTTTTTCACTACAGTTTTTAAACTGAACATTTAAAACCCCTCCTTCGAGTGCAGGCCTGTACTTCCCCTCTCCGGGCTCAGTCCGGCCTGCGGTTTCCCTAATCCCTTCAAAATGTTACTTGCTCACACTCCAACAGCACTCAAGTATTAAAAACCTTTTTGTCCCCATTCATCCTATCAAACACGCTCACGATCCCTTGGAAGCCCAACCCCTCGCACACAAAACCCCCTTTTTAACCCCCCCCTCCAACCCCTTCCCAGGCCGACCCCCCCCCGCCTTCCCTTTCCCTACAACGATACACCTTTAATCATTCTTTTCGCTCCATTCTCTCTACATGCCGAACCATCAACAACCCTTCCCACCCCCTGGGCAACATTTTGGTAAACCCCACCCCCTAACTTCCAAACACGAAATTCCTGCATTATATTCACACCACACTTGCCCCCCAGACATGCTCCCACTGCCCCCCTTCTCCCCGTGCCAAAATTCATCACCCCCTTCACCCCATATAAGAGGTTGGGAAAACTATACCTCAACATTCCCCCTTTTCCTCCAAGGACAAAGTTTCTTTGTCTCCACAGACTCCCAATGCACCACTCACTTTTTTCCCCCATCAATTCTGATTCACCTCATCTTCATAGACCCACCGCTGACACGTCCACTCCCAAATATTAATACATCACCCCCTCCATACTCTCTCCCCCCAATCTGATATTCAAATTTTTTTTCACCCAATCTTTTTTTTATCCTCATAAAACCTTATCTTCCTGTATTAACCTTAATTTTTCTTTTTACCCCTACCAAATTCATCCACCCAATCTCGCAACTTCCTTCAGAATCTCCCAAGAGCTATATATATATATATATATTATATATAATAATTAAAAATAAATATATATAATATATAATATATATATATAAAAATATAAATATATATAAATATATATATATATAAAAATAAATTTTAAAATTTTATATAAAATAAATATATTATATATAAAAAAAATATAAAATATATATATATATAAAAATATAAATTATATATATATAAAATATTATATATAAATAAATATATTATATATATAAAAAAATATATATTATAAAAAAATTTTTATAAATAAATATTTTAATATATATATAAATATTATATATATAAAAAAAATATATTATTTTATATAAAAAAAATATAATTTTTAAAAATATTATTTTAATAAATTTATATATATAAAATATAAATATATATATATATTTTTTTTATTAAATATATATATATATATAAATAATATATAAAATTATATATAAATAAAAATAAAATTAAAATTTTTTTTATAAAAAAAAATTAAATATAAAAAATATTTAAAAAAAAAAATTTATAAAAATATTTTAAAATTAAAAAAATAAATATAATAATTAATAAAAAAAAAAATATAAATAAAATTATATAAAAAAAAAAATATTAAATTTTTAATAAATTTAAAAAATATTTTATAAAATATAAATTAATTAAAAATTTATAAAAATTTAAAAATAAAATATTTTTAAATTTTTAATATAAAAATTTTTAAATAAAATAAAAAAATTTAAATAAATTTTTTTAAAATTTTAAAAATAAAAACAAAATACAAAAAATTTTTATCTAAAAAATAAATTTAAAATAAAAATTTTTTATTAAATAAATTATTTTTTAAAAAAATAAAAAAAATAATTTATATATAAAAATTTATATATTATTTATATTTATATAAAAATTTTTCCCTTAATCTATGATATTTTTCAAAATTATACAAGAAACACATTATGTAACACACAAACATGATACATGCACCCACAGTATAAAAATTTATACAAATATGAGATGTTTACCAAACGGTTTGTAGAAGTGTCGGAAGAATTATGTTTTCTCTAGCCCGTCACCTGTTACTAGGGATAAATGTAGAAAAATATTCCTTTCGTATGCCTTCACTTTATAGCTATTCACGATCCTTGTGGGTCTAGCACTTCTTTATTATGATTATAATAATAATAATAATAATATCATTCACTCTAAAAATGGTGTGTTGCATGAGAATAGGAGTGTTGCTGTTTATTATTCTGTACTAACTTGTACAACTTGTACACAGTGTAAGAGTATTTGTTTCGTGATTTAATTATTATAATAATAATAAAAATATTATAAGGTAAAAGTTTCACAAACTCTTACAAATGTACATGAATGAACTAAAACTGGACACGTATTAATACCGTCTATTTCGCCTGACCGAGTGATCGTCCACAACCTGTTCAGTTTGTTTTTTTTACGCTGTCTGAGCTCGGTGTATCTCGTTCTCTCGTTTTCTCTTCGTTAACTAATTGGCTCTCGTTGACGATGGCATCTAAGCTTAGTTGTGATAAAAAGAAGAGTCGTAAGCCTCTTACTTTAAGTGCCAAGTTAGAAATGATTAAACTTAGTGAACAAGGTATGTCAATGGCTGAGATAGCACGTAAGCTTGGTTTGGCTCGTCAAACAGTTAGTACAGTTGTGAACAATAAGGAGAAAGTGTTGCAGGAAGTTAAAAGTGCTACACCAGTGACCACTAAAGTTATAAGAAAACGTGATAACCTTATTGCTGACATGGAAAAACTTTTAGTGGTGTGGATTGATGATCAGACCAGTCACAATGTGCCTTTAAGAGCCATTATCCAGTCCAAAGCCCTAAGTCTCTTCAATTCTATGAAGGCTGAGAGAGGGGAAGAAGCTGCTGAAGATAAATTCTCAGCTAGCAGAGGCTGGTTTAATAGGTTTAAGGAAAGAAGTCAACTTCACAACATCAGAGTGCAGGGTGAAGCTGCAAGCGCTGACAATTTAGCTGCAGAAAATTATCCACGTGAACTAGCCGAGATAATAGAATGTGGTGGATATACCAAGCAACAGATTTTTAATGTGGACGAGACTGCATTATTTTGGAAGAAGATGCCATCTAGGACATTTATTGCTAAGGAAGAGAAGTCAATGCCTGGCTTCAAAGCCAGTACCCTTCTCCAGAACATCACTCCATCTGAGATCATACATACCCAGGATGACTCGAGTATGGAACACATTCGTACAGCATAATGATGTCAACGAGATAAAGTCAGTTGATCAAATGAAAATGCTGGCCCACAGATGGCTCCAACTTCATCCTGTCCCGTACTTGTATCTCTCATAACAATAAAAATGCTTTCAAATGAGCTGATGTAGGTAACAGCTCTTAGCTTGCCAATAAAGTTAGGAATCCTTAACCTGTAATATAGCTGTCAATAAAGCTAGGGATCCTTAACCTTGTCAAACCCTGTGTAAAAAAAAAAAAAAAAAAAAAAAAAAAAAGCTGCAAAAGACAGGCTAACACTCTTGCTAGGAGCTAATGCAGCTGGTGACTGCAAGTTAAAACCTATGAAGATTTATCACTCAGAGAATCCTAGGGCCCTAAAGAACTATGCAAAAGGCAGCCTCCCAGTTTATTATAAATCTAATTCGAAAGCTTGGATGACTGCCAATCTTTTCATAAGTTGGTTCACGGACTATTTTAAGCCTACAGTTGAGGGTTACTGCAAGGAAAAGAAAATTCCTTTTAATGTTTTACTTGTTGTAGACAATGCCCCTGCCCACCCTACAGCTCTACATGGTATGTACAGGGAGATAAATGTTGCTTTTATACCTGCAAACACAACTTCATTACTGCAGCCGATGGACCAAGGTGTAATTGCAGCCTTTAAATCTTATTACCTAAGAAGAACTTTCATTAAGGCTGTAAATTTCCTAGACAGTGATAAAATGCCTGGGCCTAAACAAAATAAATTAAAAACCTTTTGGAAAGGTTTCACAATTTTGGATGGCATTAAAAATATTAGAGATGCATGGAATGAAGTTAAAGAAACTACACTCAAAGGTGTTTGGAAGAATCTGATTCCTGAACTTATGGATGATTTTGAAGGTTTTGAGAATCCAGTGGGGGAAGTGTGTGTAAATGTTGTGGATAAGGCAAGGGAATTAGAACTGGAAGTGGAGCCTGAGGATGTGGAAGAATTGCTTCTCTCATGATGAGGCTCTGACAGACCAAGACCTCCTTCTGATTGAAGAGCAAAGAAAGAAATTTCATGAAGAGGAGATCCATCCTGATGATAGTCCTGTTACCATTAAAGAAATGAAAACCCATGATTTGGAAGAAGCTATCAACCATATAGAAATAACAATGGCAATTTTTGAGAAGATTGATCCAAATTTTGAACAAAGTTCAACAGTGAATGCAACCCTTTCCCATGATGTTACATGCTATAAAGAAATTTTAAGGGAAAGGAAAAAAAAATCCATGAGGCAAAGTTCAATGCTCTCCTACTTTAAGAAAATATCATGGCAACCTTCAACATCAACAGCCAGCCTTCAACATCAACAGCTAGCCTTCAACAACCTTCAACATCAACAGCTAGCCTTCAACAGCCTTCAACATCAACAGCCTTCAACATCAACAGCTAGCCTTCAACAGCCTTCAACATCAACATACACCCCTTCAAAAGCTTCACACAAGTCTCCAAAACGAATCAAATTAGTTGAAGAATTAGAGGATGGTGGTCTGCCATCTCATGATTTGATTCAATAACTACATTGCCACTCACCTCTCACACATTCATATTAAGTAATTAAAGGTATGTAATAAATGTACTGTGTGTGTAATTTTACTTTTCATTGTGTTTTTTAATGCTTAGTTCTATTGCTAATTTAATATATGTCAGTGTAAATACGTTATCTAGCATTTATATGCATTTACAAGGAAAATAAAAGGGTGTTCCACTTTACGGCGGTTTCCGCTTTACAGAGGTAGCCTGGAACCTAACCAGCCGTATGAGTGGGGCCCTACTGTACCCCTATGATTGGCGAAATTTACGATTGCCGAGAACTACAAAAAGCGAGGGACCACTGTACAAATATATATTCCAAATATAATATTGGGACTTTTAATTTATACTTAGTACAGTATATACATGCTTTACTGAGCTGTGCACTGATGAAAACCATTTTATATTTCACAATATGCGAACAATTGCACATAAAGAAAATTCTGTTAAATAATTAACAAGTAAATAACATTTTAAAAAAGTACTTGTTAAGAAAACTTGCCTCAAGGAGTTCTCTAGGAAGGTCATCTCCATTATCAATGCCTCTGTTCATTGTAATAAATTGTTCAATTGTTTGTTTGTCTTTAACTGCAGGATTATGCAGAGAGGTATTCAACATAATGATTGCAAATGACAGCACAAAACATGTATCTGGGTGCTGGAAGATCGAGGGGTTGAGCTCGCAGTATCGATGGGCGAAACGTTCCATCATTCTATCAATCTTTTGTGCTTCACCAGGCAGACGAAAACTCCACAGAAACTGTCTGTTGGTTAAAATTATTTTATATTAATATATATTACATCTTTGCTATGTGGGACATGTTTATCTAGATCTCAAATACCTCATACAGTGCCCTCCCTCTGATTAGGATGAATATTCCCACTTTGAAGGTAGTCTTTTTAATTTAGAAAAAAAAATCTTCTGAGTGACTATTTTTTTTTTTTGCTAACAGCCCACAGTACTTTTGATCAGTCAACAATGCAGCAACTACAATGCTGGTACTGACAAACAACATTAAAGCCACAGCATAAATAAAAATAACTACCAGTCCTTTAAACAAAGAAAAATCATAAGTTACAAAAAAATCACACTATCCATTGAAAAAGTTTCACCTAAAATGTCAATAACCCTTGCCCCTCCCTTCACACCTATGCACTCTCACTTCCCTTTCTCTCTTCTTTCTCTCCTCCCTCATCTCTCACTTTCACTCACTCCAGTGCCTTTACAATTCATGCCCTAAACAAGCAAGAGAGTAGGTCACTGGTGACTCGAGTTTGTATCATGCACTAAACTCCTCTAATTCAGATGAAGTACACTAGACATTCACTTCACATCCACAAGGCTTTGTTCAGCATCTCGCTAATGTTCACCTTAGCAAGATCTTTCACAGAATACACAGCACAGTATATACTGAATAATGAGGGTCCCAAGAAAGAGTTATGAGATACTCTACTTGCAACTACTCCTCACTCACATTTTTACTCTATTCTAAATTTCTTTTTTTCTGTCTGGCAAATCATGCTTTAAGATATTCATACTCTTATTACCAATTTGTCTTACAAATAGTTGAGGCACCATACACTATATGAAGCAATGAACTTGTCTACCATTTCAAATTTGTTCATGAACAACAAGAATAAATTAAACAAAATACCCCTGTAATGCAAGCTTTTTTCCCCAGCTTAAAAAAAAAAAAAAAATGAAAGGTAACAGTACCAAAGAGCTTATCAGCTCATTATGTATCTTTCATGGATATACTGGTAAGGACTACCCACTGAACTGGGAATAAAAACACCATATAAGAACAAGCCATTATTGTAGACAAAGTTTTGCTCAGTATAAGTTAGTGACTTAATAAAGTCCCAAGCAAAATGTTTGAGAATTAAGGAATGTTATTATTTGGTGTTATTTCATATATTAAACTTAAAAAACTAAAATAAACAGAGCAGAAAGCAGGACATAAGCACAATTAGAGAAGAGTCAACATTCAAGGTTCCTAGCCTCTTCAACCTACTTCCAGCAGATATCAGAAATATTGCTGGTGGCAGGCAAGGCTTCCCTGATCCATCGGGTTGTGATGGCTATGGGGGTTTGTGAGCTGCTAGCATCAACAGCCTGGTTGACCATTCAGTCAACAGGTAAGCCTGGCCACAAGCTGGGCTGTGAGGATACAAGAACCTTTGAAAATGGTCATTGCTATATGATTTGAAAAGCCTTTCATTTTTTTTATATCTATATATATATTTCCAACTAACTTTGTCATCTACCATATATCGAAATGTTCAAACATGTTACTTGTATCCTTAAAATTTGTTGCTTTTATTAACATTACAGTTTTTTTAGTTTTTATCATAAAGCAAATTAGGATTTGAAATGCAGTATACATGGATATTGTTTTAACACAACATACAATGCTCACCATTAAAGTACACTAGCTCCCTTGTAAAATCACAACTGCAAAACAGGTCATCCCTTGTGCTTTAGGAGATCCTTTAACCATCCAACGGGTGACTAACACACATTCTTGACCAGTCCATCAAATTAGGGTACCTCACAGTCATTTAGCAATTGAGCAACAGAGTTTGTGTGGCAATAGGCACCATTTTGCATAAAAATCTTGCATGACACTGAGCGAAAGTCAGGAAAAATGATAGACCAATTCTAGGTACATTATTATAGTTAACGTTAGTAGGGTCATTTTTCTAAACTTCTCTGGACGTACTTTTGGTGTGGGTATGTCATGAACAGTGTCTACAAGGAACCAACTGGACATGCACGTGCGCGTGCACACACAAGCTCGCAAACACGTGCGCGCACGCTCGCAAACACGTGCGCGCACGCGCGCGCGCACACACACACACACACACACACACACACACACACACACACCAATGACTTCTAATATTTCCTTTGTTTGATGGTCTGCCTTATGTAATCAAATTGTTTCTTGAGCCAATAACTTACTTCTGCCCATATTAATTTGTCAATAGCCAAAAATGATTGACAAATGCAGCTCTCCAAACCACATGGTGCAAATGAACAATGGACACAACTGTCCATCACCCATATTTGCACACTGCCATAACATACTAGAGTGAGAGATATGGGAGGAAGTGTAAAGTAAACCCAGTGAAAAGCAGGGGCACCATGGACACAATAAGAGAACACTATTAAAATTCATGGTCCCAGATTATTCAACATCTTACCATAAAATATTAGAAACACAGTTGGGCCAAGTGTAGAAATCTTCAAGAGGAAACTGTACAAGTATCTCCAAGAACTGCTCAATCAACCAAGCTACTATGGATGTGGGCCAGGGCTGCCAGCAGCAACAGCCTGGTTTACCAGGCAAGTACCAGACAACCCTAGCCTAGGGTCAGGCTTCAGAAGTAGAAAAACTCTTGAAACTCATCAAAGGTAAGGTATAGCCAGTAGTCACAGGGAATCTTGAGACATCCTGCTTCGAGTTGCCAGGCCAGTATATCTGTCACATTGACAAATATGCCAGGGTAGGGTATAACTTTCGACATTAAATTACTTCAGATGCCTTCCACCCAGCATTATTTTAATGACAAACACTGTACGTGTTCCATTAATTTGTAAAGAATCATAAGATTAGCCACCTAACACTGTACTCAGATTAACAAGTCATACACACCTTAAAGCCTGAACGAGGATTAAATCAGTGAAATCATGGAGGCAAACGAAGGCGTCAAGAACTGACTGGTTGAAGTCATTACGTTCCCCAAGGTAGTCTCCGATGGCTGTCTTATTCAGTCCTTCTCCTTTATACAAGAACTGTGCAATATCTGACGAAGAGAAAGAAATGAAATCAAAATAAGTAAAGTTGTTAACTGCAAAAATGTTCATAGTGCACATACAGGTCTCCCTCCACATTCGAGAGTTCCACTTTAGCGGGCTTCGAACATTCGAGAATGCCCAGCCGCCCAATCATTTAAAATACATATGTCATTATGTATGTTAGGAATCGTGGCAGCGGCAGAGTTCGTTTGGAGGCAGGACAAGATAGTCCTTCAATATGACACTAATATCAACTCTACAGCTTATTTATGTATCACAATTGATCTAATATGACATAATAAACAAAATTAATAAAGCAATAACAATATAAATAACAATAATAACAATACGTATTAATAACAGTAATAACCACTTGTTATTAATATTAATAACAATATTAATAACGAGTGGTGTTGTGTTGTTGTCCGGTGTATAAGGGCCACTGAGAGCATAAACCGTACATAGTGGTAGTGAAGGCCAGCAGCGCCGGCGGTGTTCTCAGTAGCCCTATATACCTCCAACAGCATTGGAGGAGTTAGGTTTGTGCTGTCCTTTTTCTATTGATTAATCACTTAACTTACTCGCTACACTGTTAATGCTACACTTTATCGCTGGCTGGCGTTATAGCCTTCATCGACTAGTGCTGCTTTAGAATCGTACACATCTTAGAATCACTGCAGAAAGCACATTTTCCCCTCTCTCTTCCTCCTCCACTTTGGTACTTTGCTATGAGTTCTTTCTTGAATTCTATAGTCTTTCTCACCTTCTTTACCAAAGGGCTGGCACTAGTACAAATTTTACTATGTTTTCATGTGTTTTATGAGTGTTCATGGTTCATTAGGTTAAGGAAGCAGTACTGTTAGGTTAAGTAAATGCTATTATTATATTTTCCTACAATATATTTGTGCACCAAACATTCATGATTTTTCAACATTCATGAGGTTCTTGATCCCCTAACCCTCACGAATGTGGAGGGAGACCTGTACAATAACCTATACACAATATATTATTTGTTTACACTCTAACAAGGAAGAAAAGGCAGTAACCTAGTGGGAAATACTCTACAAGTTTCAGATCATTAATAAGAACACAAAGACTGGAGACTGCAGTAGGCATACTGGCCTATAATTTGGGCGAATCTAACTATGTAGTACTTTCACACAACTGTTCCCACCCAAATATCTTAAACTCACTATTAAAGCTATCCAAAGCAATTTGCTTCCATAACTTTTTCCACATGCCTATGAAACCAATGCTTTCCAATTTACTTCCTAAATCTGAATTTATCCAACATTAATCCATTCTTTTGAGTTCAGGCTTCATTTAACATCTTCACACTGTATGACCCTTGTGGGTTTAGCTCTTAGTATTGATTATATATAATAACAATTAATATTTTGAGCATTTTATTGGTACTATATCCTTTATTTGTATAGATCCCATCTTACACTCATTCACCAATGGTATATTTGCCCTTATTCTATGCCTTTCAAGAAAGGCTTGATGTTAGTTTATTTATCAGAAAAATCACCCAACACATGTTTATCATTCAATGGTACTAGCACTGGTGCAGGTACAACAAGAGTATTTTAAGGATATGTGAAGGTGTAGTAGCCACTGTTTTAAGATTTTTGATATAGGGGGAATATTTTCTATATTATCCAATGCATTTGCAAACAGTCCATTCTGTATACAATACTGTACTGTACTGTCTTCAGAAGCTCTTCAAGTCAGTTCCTGATATGCCAGGCTGTGGTGCATAAATTGGATTGTGTGGCTTGTACCAACATGTTATATCAGATAAACAAGCAGGAAGCCTGATCTGGAACTGGGTAGGGGAAGGGAGGGGCAGACCCCCAAATCACATTCAGGCACACGAGTATGGCATCATAGGAAACGGTTCGTCCTAAAAATGAGTACAGTGGACCCCCGCCTTACGATCAGTTCCCAACTCGACCAATTATGTAAGTGTATTTTTGTAAGCGCATTTGTACATGTATTTTTGGGGGTCTGAAACGGACTAATCTAATTCACAATATTCCTTATGGGAACACATTCTGTCTATAATGGCACCTGAACAGACCTCTGGAATGAAATAATATTGTAAGGCGGGGGTCCACTGTACTGTAACAGGATAAATAATTATGTTTAACACTGTGACCAATTTTCCACATCACACGAAAAGCCACTATTTCCCACACACCCACACAGAAAACTAAAAGTCCAACGATTTCCAACAAAAACAAGGGACACGATTATTGTAAAATCTTAAAATGTACTGTAAACATCTTAAGGGTATGCAGCAGCTGCAATAGCTTTGCTGAATAATAGAAGAAACATGATAAGCACTAAAAAAAAAAAAAATTGTAATACTATACGTACATGAAAACCCAGATAGATTTTTTTACCTGCAACATGGAAAAATGAACCCAAAACCTAAATTTCAACAAGTGGCTTTAAAACAACAGAAAATACTTTGATACAAATATAAAGGCACAATACAACAGATAGTTGGAATGGGCTCCAGGAGGTAATGTGCTATTATATAATTTTACAAAACTAAATAAAATGTACACGTGTACTATTTATATTTTAAAACATGCTGAACCTGTATGGATCAAAAATAAATTCAACTTACCATCAGGAGTGTTCTTCAAAAGGCCATGATCGATAAGGTACTCTATTCCTTTCTTAGGGTCCATGTTGAACTTCTTCCTCCCGATGCTCATCTGTTTACTCTTTGGATTATTCTTACTGTGGGTCAAGAAAGTTACATTAACATTTAATTATGACGCACAACACTTTTAATGCATTTTTAATTAAAAAAATTACAGCTCTAGCACAGCCTAAATAAAAAAAAGTTTTCAGAAAGGCTTCCTGCTCTGGAAAATACATACTGTGACACCTAAATTAGTATACTTAAATTCGTACAAAAAAATGGAAGTGAATGCAATATCCTAAAGAAAATATTAAGTTACATTTAGTGTGTGCTGAGAATGTTTCATGGGAACAAGTGTCCACCATCCGTTCAATTGGCTGGACCACTGCTGACTCAGTGCCAGATTCACTACCTGGCCCCAAACCATCATATGCAAGAACCACATTAAACAAAGCTATTGTCTAGCATAGGTTGTGAATCCTACCTGGGTGGCAGGGGTGTAGTAAGCTTAGAAAGGGAAAGCAGGGCTGTTTCCCCAAAACCCCTGCAGACTAGGAAGGTTTGGCCTGAGGCTATAGGTTGTTCCCTACATAGTGTTTGACACTGTCAGCCAGGATTGAGTGTCAGACTGTGCTGCTCGTCTTGAATAATAAAAACAGATGAAATGCCAAACAATTTACACTTATTTAGTACAGGTTTCAGACCATCTAAACTTTTACCCTTGCTGAGTTTTTTTTTTTTACTCCCAGATCCAAGCCTTGAGAGAGGCTCATCTGGTGCTTGCTTAGTTAACCAGGCTGATGTTGCTGGCAGTCTGCAAATCCATCATGGCATAGATGCTCTGGCACTTGGTTGATGTACTTGCCCAGTTTCCTCTTGAAGACTTTTACACTTGTTCCAGCAGTATTTCTGATATCTTCTGGCAAACTGTTAAAATGTCCAGGACCATGGATGTTGATACAATGTTCTCTTATTATACCCACAGTGCCCCTGTTTTTCAACGGATTTGTTACATATTTTCTACGCGAGTGTACCCTGTTAAAAGACATCCTAAGGATACAGGTTGGTATCAAGGGAAGAGGAATTCTGGCAGTACAGTTAAGAGACCAGAGGAAGAGGAATCCCATGATAATGGAGAACAAGAGAAACAGGGAAATCCTGAGATATGGGATGGGGGGGGTTACTAAGGATGAAAAACTGTAGACAATTTGCAGGGGAAGAGAAATCCTGGAGGGTGCCAGAGTAAGGGGTCTCCTCTTCCTCCTCCAAGTTGTAGCATTTTTTACTCTGATGTAAACTCGTAGCATGTTGCTTTAGACAACTTTACTCGGCATTTGCAAATATTTCTGGTTTATTGTGATTGGTAAGGGAACGCCGAAGTTCATGAGTCAAAATACTACTGTGTTCAGCTAGCCATTAATCAGACTATTTTGACATTCTGTAATTTCTGATATCTTGTAACGGCAACCAACTCGACTTAGAAAAAGACATTGACCAATGTGTTGTTAGAGCTGGAAAGGGAAGATATGTCAAGACCGGGCTTTTAAGTGATCATGCCATATCAAATACCTTTGCATTTGACGGCTTTCGAGAGCTTTCTTGTTCCCGCAGCTCATCTCTGGCCAGGTTTGTCTGGTGTGCTTGCCTAGCCCGCTGACCTACATATTCATCACAGCTGAGTAATCCGGCACTTGGCAGAGGTATTTGTCAGGTTTCTTCTTGTCCCATCAGTGTTTGTGATATCTTCTGATAAGATGATAATCTGGGACAATGAATGCTGACACAATGTTTTTATTTAGGCGATGTCACCAATGTTTTTCACTGGGTTTATTTTAAAATTTCTTTCATCTCTCACTCCCGTATGTTATAGTTGTGCAGATTTTGGACCAAGCTTCCAGCATCTTCCACGTACATGTTATCTACCTCTTCTCTCCAGAGAACACACATTTAGAAGAGCATTCTCAGTAACTGAAATGCTATATTGGTTCTATGAGGGCCGTAAATGATCTGTCCATCTAGTGACTAGTCTATCTCCCACTAAATGACAGTAAGAGGTTCTCCGAGATCATACAATGACTCGGGAGAAGGGACAGTGTCTACCCGGTACAAAGTGAGGGATTTTATATGAATGGTATACAATACTGACAAGATAATGAATCAAGATGCGTGTGCAACATCTGGGTATCTTTACTCTGTAGACATTTTGCCATCCAGTGGCTTTATCAAAACAAGAACTGGGCGAGGGAGTCCCCCCCCCCACTTTTCATTCATGTTTCTTTACCACCATGCTCCAAACAAATTAGTGATGACTATCCTCCCCATCCTAAACTCTGCTATCATCACACCCCTTCCCTCGTGTCCCATCCATGTGCCGTGACCTAGCAATGGTTGAGTCTTGACCAGCTAATACTGGCGCGGGCAGGTTCCGTGGCATCCCTTAAGGCCAAAATTACTTCCACTGACGACTGGAGGTGTGCAGATTTCCCCAATGATGACTGCAGCTTTAGTCTGCGGTTGCAACTCACACGCCCTCAGCACTGTTAACACTGAGGTTTTTCTTCTATGAAATGAAAATTTGTCACGTTGAAATGTTCCAGGTAAATTGTGTTGTGGCAAGAGGGACATAGCGAGTCACTACACTCCAGGATGTTCTCTGGTGGCGTTCATTACTGCCTCAAACCGAGTGTCACCACGACACTTGTGTACTGCTGGACCTCACTCCCCACCTCCCCCAACCATACAAATGTGGTGTGAGGCGGAGACGGGCAGGAATGGAGGCGGGGTACATGCATAAACGGGGAGGGGCTGGGCAGGGCGGGAAGAAGCATAACAAAATACATTTCCGAAGATAAATTAGTTCCACTTAACATTAAATAGAAAATCTTACAAAAAAAAAATCATAATTTTGCATTGGAGAGGCAAGAAGTGATAGAAAGGGTCGTGTTGGAGAGCAGAAAAGAGAAGGGGATGGATAGTGGCGGGGAGAAGTTGCGGAGGGGCGAGGAGAGGTTGGAGCAAGGCGGATAGGCAGGGACGTGGCGGGGAGAGGCAGGGGAATACCCGAGGTTGAGCAACACGTGGAATGTTCCCAGTTTCTTCAGGTGATTACAATGTTGGGACTTTTTCTTGAAGATTCTTAGAAATAAATCTACATTTTAATTTACTGAAACATGCGCCACCACCACAGGGTATAGTAATCCCCGCACACGCCTGTCTAAGATAATTCGTTAAAATCTTAATTAAGCTGTCGAGGGAGATGAACAAATGAAGTACGTACTTCACTTGTCCGTTACTATGCAAGGTCCATCAGTAACACCCATGGCAAGAAGCACATCCGCCAGTTACAAGTAAATGATTAGTATAAACATTATGTGCGGGGAAGGGTGAGGAGGAGGAGGGAGGGGAATGAGGCGCGCTGGTTATTCCTTCACAACCACAAGGTCGCCCACAATTTTTTTTATGCTACTACGCTCTGTTATGGAATGTGTGGATTTTGACTCCCTTAAAGGGTCACCTTATCATGGTCCTTCCCACACGGTTATCCCCAGAGGGTCACTCATCCCTAACACAATAGCAAACTTCTGAACCATTATTAACTGAAAATAATATCTGACAAAAATGTTATTTAAAATCATGGTTAGCAGAGAACAAAAAAGAAACACACAAAGGCTGGGGAGGAATAGCCTCAGTAACACCACTCTGTGAGTAAACAGTCTATGATGTTCTCAAATTACGGCTCCTACAACATTCAAGAACTGCTGCCTTGATTGTTTTGTATTATTTAACTACATCAAGTCCTGCATCTTTTAAATATTATGAAGCTTAGTCACAAGGTAACTAATGTGTTCATATATATTACTATTAAGATGCAAAATAACCGTGGGGGAAATCGAATGATAGCTCTAGGCCTTTCGTGTTGCAATCAACACATCAGGATCTTGCAATGTTGCAGGAAAGAGGAAGTCCTAGCAAATACGTTCATGGGAAACGTCTTTGCTCGAACAAAGAAGTTTCCCCCTGAACGTATCTGCTTGGACTTCCTCCTCTTTCCTGCAACATTGCAAGATCCTGATGTGTTAATTGCAACACAAGGTTTAGAGCTATCATTCAATTTTCCCCGTGGTTGTTTTGCATCTTGTATCGTTTGTTCGCAATTATTGCACATTACTATTAAATATATATTGCTGAATTCTGTTACATTCTAAAATATAGTGTCCTCGTCTATATGTTGCTGCAGGGGGTCGAGTCTCAGCTCTTCGCACTGTTCAACTTGCCACTCTCCATATTAACTCCCTTATCGTACCTACTCTTAAAACTTTGTATGGCACCTGCCTCCACTACTTCACCGAAATCATCCCACCTAGATCTACCTGGAGGGTATTCTGGCGGTCAACGCTCCCGCGACCCGGTACACGATCAGGCCTCCCGGTGGATCAAGACCTGATCAACCAGGCTGTTACTGCTGGCCGCACGTAGTCCAACGTACGAACACAGCCAGGCTGATCCGGCACCGACTAAGTATCTGTCCAGCTCCCTCTTGAAGGCAGCCAGGGGCTTATTGGCAATTCCCCTTATGCATGGTGGGAGGCTGTTGAACAGGTTTGGGGCCGGACACTTATTGTTTTCTCTTAGTTTACCAATGGCGCCCCCTACTTTTCATTGGGGGTATTTTGCACCACCTGCCCAGTATTTTACTTTCGTAGCGAGTGATTTCTGTGTGCAGATTCGGGACCATTCCTTCAAGGATTTTCCAAGTGTAGGCCGAATAAATACTTCTGACATCCCTGTGGGACATTTGTCTCTAACCTCCAGCTGTGTCCCTAACTTCGTCTCTCGCCACTCAATCAGCCTGTCCCTGTCTACCCTATCAATTTTTCCTTGAGTATTTTGTATGTTATATCTCCTCTGAGCAGTTCGCCAGAGGCTCCCCATCAACCGAATAATCTTTGCTGCCAACGCTCACCTGGAAAATCTAGAATGGCCTTCAGAGTGTGTGTGTGTGTGTGTGTGTGTGTGTGTGTGTGTGTGTGTGTGTGTGTGTGTGTGTGTACTTAACTTTGTGGTTGCAGATTTCTAGTCACAGCTCCTGGCCCCGCCTCTTCGCTGGTCGCTACTAGGTTTACTCTCTCCTTGCTCCCTGAGCTTTATCGTATCTTTTCTTAATTAAAGCCATGTATGGATCCCGCCTCCACTACATCACTCTCCAGATTGTTCCACTCAGTGACAACTCTATAACTGAAAAAATACTTCCTAATGTCCCTGTGACTCATCCGAGTCTTCAACTTCCAGCTCTGACCCCTTGGTGCTGTGTCCCATCTCTGAAACATCCTGTCCCTATTCACCTTGTCAATTCCTCTCGGTATTTTATATTTTCGTTGTCCCCCTGTCCCTCCTGTCATCCAATGTCGTCAGGTTGATTTCCCTTGCCCCCCCCCCCGTGCGTGTGTGCGTGCGTGTGTGCGCGTGCGTGTGTGCGTGCGTGCGTGGGGGGGTCTTTCCTGCTTTACCACTCTGCCAGGTATTCAAGGTTATATTTTTTTTATCAATTTCGGAAATCATCGCCACTAAGTGGAAAGGAAATATTACAGGAATAAGAACTATTAATATACATAGAAAAGTTGTGCGTATACTGAACGTTAATAAAAGTGTTGAAGATTTACCTGCCATCATCTATGTTAGTGAGGAAGAGAAAATAGCCCGGCGTTCGTTATACTCTTACGCCACAACCGTAGTAGACGCAGGCAGTCTAAACTAAACCTAACAACCACGGCATCTACTCTTCTATTTCCAAGTATTTAACACTTCATCCAACAGAAAATTAAAAGCACAAATCAAATTATTTCTTAACGATCTCTCTCAAGCCATACCAGATAAATATAATTTTATCTTGTTCAATTTCTTAAATGTAATTTTGTTTTTGTGGAGCTGCAGTACTGACGTCTGTGGTCTGAGTGTACTGCTCAGTCAGCTTCGACTGTGTGTAAAACAAAAAAAACAAACAAACTTTAGTAGATTAACAGGCAAAAAAAGTAAAAATATCGATGAAGAGGTGTAACGTCCTCGCAAATTACCAGACTGTTTCACACATTCCTTGTACTCGCAAAACACTTTTGAGTCTCGCACACTCCCTGTTCTGACAAGACAATTACCTGTAGCATATATTTTTTTCAGAGTCATCAATAGCTACAAAATACCTGGATTAAATTCCAAGTACATGTCATTCAAATAACTTTAATATGAGACTATTGTGCTTGTGGTGGGAAGGAGTTCTACTTCTAGTAAACGTTTAGCGCACACCAGGAAAATATCGTCAAACTTTCCAGCGGTACCAGTGTTTCATGGGCTATGTTTACATCCGGGCTACATGACTAAGATCACGTGGCATGGAAAGTTTACCTCACACTGGTCAGTAGCAGAATGTCATAATGTTTGTTGCCCGTGTATGTAGTACACCAATTTATTATCATTATTATTATTAAATTAAGAAAACTAAGTAGAAATGTGTTATATATACAGCCCAAGTCTCTGCAGTCGTTTCTCCGTGCTCGGTAGCTTTTACCCAGCCACCGTGAGAAAATCTAGAATACGCTATCAAAGACATGTTACACTTGTGTACCTGATGGTGGTTGTGAGGGATCAGTGGACCACGAGTGACGTGATCAGGTCTGCTGCTTCATGACCTAGCAACACACCATTCATTACTTACCTTCACCATCCAGATACTATGCTTATATATTTTATACACGTTTCCGTACTGTATACATGATTCTATATTCGACACATGTATTGGCCAAGGTTTTACAGGCCCTCTCATTTTATTACTACTGTACGGAATACAAGTTTACATCATGTATAATACAAGGCGAGATATGGTATCGGATCATTTATACGTATTCATGATTTTGGGTGCAACTGCCTAATAAATTTGTCACTAGGGTAAAAATTACATTTTTTTTGGTCGTAACTATCTTGGCCACTAATCCGCTGGTCAATGCAATTGTTATCACCGCTAACTCAAGTTATTTTTAAACACGTTGCTGGTTCATACCGGTGAGAAGAAAAAGTTTAATAAACAGCGGTGGTAATTATGCAGCCACCCTCTTGCAACTCTTACATCTGTGAGAACAATTATGCTATAACAACTAGCGTTATCTGTCTTTGTGAGGTAAGATAAAGATTATTTAGATTAATTCAATTTTCCCTTACAATCTAGTTTTGAGAACAAATGTGGGATTAAAAATGATGATATTTTGTGTTCCTACACAATATATAAAGTCTATATGTATATTGTAACTAAAATATTAAATATGCAAGAAAATCCTCAAACCACAACAAAATATCGAAATCTGCAAATCAGCAGCAACCCTTCCCCGTCCTCCAAAGTCCAGGTGACTAGTATCAACATTCCCCTACCTCAACGCTCTCACTCCAACAATACTCTAGTACAATTACTCTTAAAGTAGCAATATCCAACACTAATGTGTTCTTGAACACCTGCTGGTAGTATGGGCGGGGAAGTCCCACCCCACAAGCCTTACCACAACGTACGTACCACCGTGTGTCACCACACAATCCCCCAAAGGAAGCCATCAATGTATTTGTGTCTACAAGTCGTTCCTCAAACCTGGTTGCAAAACATCTAGAAATGTTTACATGCAAATATCTTTCTCAATTTTAATCAAGTTTATTGCCAGACATCGACTGTACGTGGCTCCGCAACGTTAACATCAAGAATAATTTAATTCCTAAAATATATATACTACGTAGTTATACACAAGGATATTGCAGTAGGCCAAAGAGACCTCCCAGGTGGAATGTATTTTATATCATGGATGAAGTAGAGTGGGACACACTGGGTCAAAGACACCTCTCAAGAGGGAATGAATTCGTCGATACAGTGAAGGTAAGTTCGTAAAGCTTTGCTAATGTGTTACTCTCACGCTCTGGCAACACAGCGGGGTGACAACAACCAGATATATATTATACCTGTGACCAGTTTTCAGGGTTCTACAACACCCTACGGCCCAGCCTGAGTCCACAGTGCCTTCCTGGCTGCCTGATCAACCAGTCTGCTGCTGCTAGCGGCCCAGGAGCCTGCTTACTATCAAAAACTGACTGATCAGGCACTGAGAAGGTAAGTGGTTCAGTTTCCTCATTAAAACTCCAACTCTAAGGTCATGCCTAAATGTTATACAAGGTCGGTTTTATTAATCTTCAAACTAAACTCGTGACTTGTTCATTATTTATCACTTTCACTCTCCTAACTCCGTTCCCTGGAAAATTACACATTATATCTTTCAAATTAAATGAAAAAATTTCACTTTTTTTTTTTTTTTTTGGCTATTTTAGAGTTTGATAGAAAATGTTCTCATGTTGTGAATATTGCAGTGGTAGTGGATCTGCGCTAGCAGCTAGTGTCTTGAACGTCACCTATGGAGACCAAGTGTGGAAGGTGTCAAGGGCGTCATGTTGGAAGAAGGTGTCAAGGGCGTCATGTTGGAAGAAGGTGTCAAGGGCGTCATGTTGGAAGGTGTTAAGGGCGTCATGTTGGAAGAAGGTGTTAAGGGCGTCATGTTGGAAGAAGGTGTTAAGGGCGTCATGTTGGAAGGTGTTAAGGACGTCATGTTGGAAGAAGGTGTTAAGGACGTCATGTTGGAAGGTGTTAAGGACGTCATGTTGGAAGAAGGTGTTAAGGACGTCATGTTGGAAGAAGGTGTTAAGGACGTCATGTTGGAAGGTGTTAAGGGCGTCATGTTGGAAGAAGGTGTTAAGGGCGTCATGTTGGAAGAAGGTGTTAAGGGCGTCATGTTGGAAGAAGGTGTTAAGGGCGTCATGTTGGAAGGTGTTAAGGGCGTCATGTTGGAAGCAGGTGTTAAGGGCGTCATGTTGGAAGCAGGTGTTAAGGGCGTCATGTTGGAAGAAGGTGTTAAAGGCGTCATGTTGGAAGAAGGTGTTAAGGGCGTCATGTTGGAAGAAGGTGTTAAGGGCGTCATGTTGGAAGGTGTTAAGGGCGTCATGTTGGAAGCAGGTGTTAAGGGCGTCATGTTGTAGTGGTGAGTAAAAGCAGGGCACCAAGACGGCTATATTCACACATTCAATACTTTGTGATGTGTGCTTTTAACTAAGATGTAACTTGCATGTACTAACCTGTCTTCCCCCGTGTCCAGCGCCTCCATCTCCGCTGTGACCTCGGCCATCTCATCTTTGAGCGTCTGAAAATAAACATACGTACATAAGTATGTATGTAAGCCGTGCGTGTGTGTGTGTGTGTGTGTGTGTGTGTGTGTGTGTGTGTGTGTGTGTGTGTGTGTGTGTACTCCCCTAGCTGAGGTTGCGGGGGTCGAGTCCGAGCTCCTCTGTGTGTGTGTGTGTGTGTGTGTGTGTGTGTGTGTGTGTGTGTGTGTGTGTGTGTGTGTGTGTGTGTGTGTGTGTGTGTGTGTGTGTGTGTGTGTATTTGTGTTTACAAAATCATACAAGATAGGCGCTGAGGTCTTATACTGAACATTGTAAAGCTCGTAGCCACCAGAGAATTAACATATCTAAAAACATTTTATGTGATATACCTGTCACTTGTTTCAAGTGTTCTTATACCGTCGCGGTAGTGTCGAATTCCTAATTTCTTTGTTGACTGCCTGAACAACTTGGCTCTTCCTGAAAGCACCAGTTGCCGCCAGCAAGAGGTGTGCAATGAACCGGTAAATATATTCAAGATTAACAGGCAATATTAACTAGTCATCAATGTGAAAAAACTATTCCATTAGATCTTTAAGAAATCACTCTAGGATCTGTCCTAGGCTAAATTACTGAAATTAGATATTCATAAATAATCATAATAAACGATACATCCTCTGTAGTCTCCACACAGGCAACATTCTGCATAAAAAAAGGTAGGGGGGCAAATAGAGTTCAAGTGGAGCTTGAAAACATGAACTACCGTATAGTCACAATACTTATCCGGAGACAAAGACCTTTCACTTCCCGTATCTATTAAACTCAAATTATTGGAAACTCTTAAAAAATAAAATTGTACTCTGGAGCGCAAACAAGAAAATATTACTGAGAATGATTCAAGTCTCCACACCAACATCACCTGTTATGAGTAGCCTGGTTGACGGTGCTAACACCTCAGTGAAACACCAGGAAGAAATAAATCCACAAGAGAGCTCAAAGAATACAAATGGTTCAAGGCTTTTGAACACCCTACCTCTGCATACAAAGATAATTACTAATAAACATGTTTTCAAAAGGGAACCCAAGTTCAAGCAAACTATTACTGATTAACCAGGCTGTGATGCCTACGTGACCCGCGTGCCTCGTGTATCAAACAGGCTCACAAGTATTATATTCTATAGAAATGTAGTTAGATGTACAATATAAAACAGGAGAAAAGCTCACTGGTGCCAGAGTGTTGGCTGCTGTTTCTGACCTCGACACAAGTAACCTTGTAAGTTTACGTACATATTGCAGGTATACATAAAAATATAAATTATATATTACATACACACACATATATATATTCATACAAATACTTAACACTGGGAATACACTATGTATAGTTCCTTCTATAGGTACATAAAGTGTTGTTTCGTTTATAAGAAGATACAGCATGTCGTGTAGCGGGTGGGTAGTGGTGGTGTTGAGGGAGGTTGTGAAGAGTAGTTTACCAAGTGACCACAACTAATGGCTGTAATTTTACCACTCTACACACTGGTAAAACCTTATCCAGGGTCACAGGTTGTAAACGCCGCCACTCCTGCAATAAATGACAGCAGGTCCCCGTTGTCACCTTACCAAACACTACCACAAAGAACACTAACTGAAATTCGTTCCAGAGCTCAACGCCCTCACGGCCAAGTCCCCGACCAGGTCTCCCAGTAAATTAGAGCCTGATTAACCAGACTGTTACAGATGACCGCACACAAGCCAATGTAAAGGACTAGGTACGTCCAGGGTCCGGGTCTATTGGTCATCCCTTTTATTTATGATGAGAGGCTGTTGAACAGTCTTGGACCCCGGACACTTAGTGTTTTCTCTTAATATACTCATGGCATCCCTCCTTTTCATTGGGGGTATGTTGCACCGTCTGCCTAGTCTTGCTTTCGTATGGAGTGATTTGTGTGTGCAGATTTGGGACCAGTCCCTCTAGTATTTTTCAAGGTGTAAATTATGATTAATCTTTCTGGCCTGCGTCCCAGGGAGTACAGGTCAATGGACTTCTAATGTTCCAGGTATATAGAACAGTTTTTCCAGGTATATAGAACAAAAGTCAGAGATAAGATAGGTCCCCTTAAAAATAACTATGGGCATCTTACTGACAAAGAGAATGAAATGTGCTCGATTTTAAATAATTATTTTCTCTCGGTTTTTACACAGGAAGACACTAATAATATTCCGGTAATTAATTTTTATAGTGGATCAGAAGAAGATAAATTATGTAACATCACAGTCACTAGTGAAATGGTTGTGAAGCAGATAGACCGACTGAAGCAAAATAAGTCACCGGGTCCTGATGAGGTTTTTTCAAGGGTTCTTAAGGAATGCAAAATGGAAGTCTGTGAACCATTAACTAATATTTTTAATTTATCTCTTCAAACAGGTGTAGTGTCTGATATGTGGAAGATGGCTAATGTAATTCCTATTTTTAAAACAGGGGACAAGTCGTTACCGTCAAATTACCGCCCAATAAGCCTGACCTCAATTGTAGGCAAGTTGCTAGAGTCAATTATAGCTGAGATTATAAGAAGCCATCTCGATAAGCATAGCTTGATTAATGATACTCAGCATGGATTCACAAGAGGCCGGTCTTGTCTAACTAATTTATTAACTTTCTTCAGTAAAGCTTTTGAGGCTGTTGACCACGATAAAGAATTTGATATTGTTTACTTAGATTTTAGTAAGGCATTTGATAGAGTTCCGCACCAAAGACTGTTGAAGAAAGTAGCAGCTCATGGCATTGGGGGGAGGGTGCTCTCGTGGATCGAGTCATGGCTCACAGACAGGAAGCAGAGAGTGTCCATAAATGGGGTTAAATCCGAGTGGGGATCAGTAACAAGTGGCGTTCCACAGGGATCAGTCTTGGGCCCGTTGTTGTTTATAATATATATCAATGATCTTGATGAAGGAATTGCTAGTGATATGAGCAAATTCGCCGATGACACGAAGATAGGTAGGATAATTGATTCAAACGTAGATGTTAGGGAACTTCAGGAGGATTTAGACAAACTCTACTCTTGGTCAGAAAAGTGGCAGATGCAGTTCAATGTGGATAAATGCAAGGTTCTGAAGCTCGGGAGTGTCTATAACCCTAGCACTTATAAGTTAAATAATGTAGAACTTAGCCATGCAGATTGCGAAAAGGACTTGGGGGTTATGGTAAGCAGCAACCTTAAACCAAGACAGCAATGCCTAAGCGTACGTAATAAGGCAAATAGATTACTGGGATTTATATCAAGAAGTGTAAGCAACAGAAGTCCAGAGGTCATACTGCAGCTTTATACATCATTAGTAAGGCCTCACCTAGATTATGCAGCTCAATTCTGGTCTCCATATTACAGAATGGACATAAATTCGTTAGAAAACATTCAGCGTAGGATGACTAAATTAATACATAGCATTAGAAATCTTCCTTATGAAGAAAGATTGAAGACTCTTAAGTTACATTCACTTGTTAGAAGAAGAATGAGGGGAGACCTGATCGAAGTGTATAAGTGGAAGATAGGTATTAATAAAGGGGATATTAACAAGGTCTTGAGGATATCTCTCCAAGAGAGAACCCGCAGTAATGGATTTAAATTAGATAAGTTTAGATTTAGAAAGGACATAGGAAAGTATTGGTTTGGAAATAGGGTAGTAGATGAGTGGAACAGTCTACCTAGTTGGGTTATTGAGGCTAGGACTTTGGGTAGTTTCAAATTTAGGTTGGATAAATACATGAGTGGGAAGGGTTGGATTTGAGTGGGACTTGCACATCAGAGCTTATTTCTTGGGTAGCATTGAAAATTGGGTAGGTCAAATGTTTGTTAGTGGGATGAATTGTAAAGGACCTGCCTAGTATGGGCCAACAGGCCTGCTGCAGTGTTCCTCCTTTCTTATGTTCTTATGTTCCCAGTAATTAAGATGTTTGACTGAACTATTACGTCCTGTGAAGGTTCTCTGTACGTTCCTTTGATCTGCAATTTCACCTGCCTTGAAAGGGGCTGTTAGTGCACAGCAGTATTCCAACCCAGACAGAACACGTGACTAAAGAGGATAATCGTTGACTTAGCATTCCATGTTTTGAAGCTTCTCATTATCCATCCCATCAGTTTCTTCAGACATGTGATAGTGACAAGGTTGTGATCCTGGAAGGTGAGATTCTCTGACATCAACGGTCGTAAGTCCTTCACATTAGTTTTTCGCTTTAGCATGATTTTAGAGATTTGTTTACTCCGTTCCAGCTATTATTTCCTCCAGTTTTCCAAAACGGATTATTTTCTGCGTCCCTTTCATATACCTTTGAAGAGTTTCGAGAGTTTATCTACTCTCTGAGCCCGGCTATGGGCCAGGCTCGTCTGGTGCTTGCCTGGTCAACCAGGCTGTTGCTGCTGGAGGCCCGCTGCCCCACATATCCATCACAGCCTGGTTGATCTGTCACCTGGTGAAGATACTTGTCCAGTTTCCTCTTGAAGGTTTCTACACTTGTTCCAGCAGTGTTTCTGATATCTTCTGGTAAGATGTTGGAAAGTCTGGGACCAGAAGATATCCAACACTGCTGGAACAAGTGTAGAAGCCTTCAATGGAAAACTTGGTTTATATCCGCTTGGAGATTTACCATGTTTTTAACAGATGGCACTCATACAGATTCTAGTATCGTCTGCAAAAGGATGACATGGTGCTAAGGTTGACATCTCTATCTAGTCTGATACGAGGATGAACAGAATGGGGGAAAAGTACTGTACCTTATGGAACAGAGCTTTTCAATGTGGCAGCCTCAGACATAACTCTGTTTACGATTACTATGCGTATTCTATTGGTTAGAAAGTTAAAAATTCATCTGTTCACTACACACACACGACAAACGCTATCACCACAAGCACTACTCACCACGCAAACACTACCATAATAAACACTGCTCACCGAATAAAACACTGCTTTTCTCCTCGCTGGCGACTTCATTAGGACTGAACCATACCAAACTTTTCAGTGTTGCTTATCTTTTTAACAGTTAAGATAC